TTTTTCCATGGAGATCTAATGTCTGTCCGAAAAACTTTTTGAACCAATGTAATAGCATTCTGTTGTAACTCACTTAACAAGTATCACTTTACGTAGTCGATTGTGAGTTACAGTGACTGTGTGAGGACTAATGATACCGCCTCATAGATCAAACTGAATTAAACGCTATGGTGTTCGGACTTATAATCCACTGGTTGAAAAGTGATACTAGATAGGTCGATTGTTCTATTTGATAGTATGCTTTGTAATGTCGTACCGTAAAATTAAACATTTTCTATCAGTAGCGTCATACTAGTACTGGAAGCTTTTCTCATCTGTATTTTACTTTCCACTCCTCCTCAACTGATGTTTATTTATTGTAGATTTGGTTTTCAGAATAAGTTGACATGTTATCACTCTTCTTATTTAGCTCAGATTCACAGTCATTCAAATTTAACAGCAATCAATACTTTTTTTCAGATTATGATTCATCTGTTGCGGTAGAGCTATTAGACAGTTGGAGAAAATAATTAATAGACTGTTTATTGACCTGAGTTTCGTTCTAGTTGGAAAAGGGTATCTGTAATCTCAAAAGGACTTATTCTGACTTTGAGATTGGAAGACTCATTATCCAGCTTCAAAGTCAGCTGACCTGTAGGGTTGAGATATTTACAATATCGTCATCCGAATGGCTCGATGTTAGTATCTGACTGTGAAACCGTCACAAGACAAAAGGTGCGAAGACTAGTGATAAAGATTTGTTTGACTCCCGAAATAAATCAAAATGATTTAGAAGTACACAACGTTTTATATCATTTATTTACAGTTAGATCAACAGTCAGATTTGTACAAACTGTAGTTGTATTTTTAACAGTCAAATACACGAGCCGATCTAAGCTAGATCACCACTAGAAACCTGTAAAAACTAAGCGACTGTTCACTCACTAGTGACTAGCTTCAAGATGGATTTCCTGGAGTTCTAGTGAGAAGCCGTAACTAGTGGAGTCCAATCCGTGTCCGTGGATGTGGGACACTTATCCACCTCAGACAATGGATGAATGGCTGCTCAAGGTCATGGATGATGGCTAAGGAGTCTAAAGGTTAAGCGAGACCGAAGGTCCTTGACTCGAGTCCCTTTAGTGCAGGGTTGTGGACGTGCACTGCTGAGGAGTCCCATACCAGGAGAAAACAGCTGTCCAGTGCATTCAAGTTTTCAATGGTGGTCTAGCTTAAATCGACTCATGAATTCAACTGTTAAAACTACTACAATATCCACAAACCCTTATTTTGATATGTTGTATTTTACAATAACAATTCAATAACTTACTACATGAACATATTTCAAATATCATACAATTAGGTATCTATAATCCTTCTTAAGATGTAAATGCATATCACAAAGGACTAGAGAAAAGAAAATTAGTTTTACATGTCATTCACATTCCAATTGATTAAGCAACTACTCATCGCATCAGAGAGAAAAATAAGAGAATATCATACGGCACAAAGTGTTGTAGGCATATGGAATAAAACTCATTAAGATATAGAATTATAAAACATGACGTTCAACGAAAATAGTTTACAGTGAGTATAGGGATGAGATAGAAAGCAAATGTTAACTTAGAAGCTCGTATAACAGTAAATTATTTTCTTTACTGTAGATTTACGGCCAACTAAGGATGATGTATTTGAGAATTAAGTAAATCTATAGTGATACATCTAACAAGAGTACAAATAGAAAACAGAACTTAAGATGAGAGATTATAATTTATGGACGACCTTTGAGCAACGCTAAAGTGACCTTGAGAGTGTACACCTAAATGAGGGTTATAAACCACTGTCAGTCAGCTACAACGTAGGACTAGGTACATATGTGCATCAGTCCAGGTTGCCATACCGCATTAGCACAGCAAGATGAACACCGGATTCATAGGAGTGCTTAGGTCAAAGGTGGTAATATAAAGGAGAAGGGTTGCATAAAAAGATATAGTATAGGAAGAAAGAATTAGTTAGTAGGAAGAAAGATATGAAGTGATTTTAATCTCTTAGTTTAAGGGAAGACAGAGAGTGTATACACCGACGCCAATGTGATAGATTCAGAGCCATGTCACCAAGAGTCTCCAACCATTGGTTACGATAGTCATGCAGACCTCAATCAAGTAGTCTGCATCTACCAACATGGCTCAGACTAGAGGTTAGTGTCTTCAAGCACTGGTGCCACGTTTTGGTTTTGCCGCCCCTAACTTTCTTCCAACCATCTCCAACACCGGTCAGCATTGCACTTCGTGGTAGTCGGTGTTCAGGCATACGTAACACGTGACCCAACCATCTCAGTCGATGAAGATTAACAACCTCATCAACTGATTTACCATCATTCCTTAATACCCTGCGTCTAACCTCACTATTACTTACCCGATGATCCCAACAGACGCCAGCAATATTTCTAAGGCATCTGTGGTCAAATACTAGTAGCTTACGAGTGTCTTCTACTCTTAATGGCCATGTTTTGCTGCCGTAAATCGAAACACTGTGAGGAATTAGAATTATGATTTACAGTTGATGATTAGGGTTAGAAATTAGATTTAGGGTTTTCGTCACTCTGATTGGTTCGTCTATAAATTATAGTCTCGACAATTATTCAATATGTTTTATAACTTTCTTTTTCTATCTCATATTTACTTTATATTAGATAATCTAAGACGAAGTTTTTCAGTTCGACCTATTAAAACAAATAATTCAGCATTTACACCTTATGTTTCATGTACTTCATTAAAACAAAAAACATTACCAACTGAATTATTAGAATATGATTTACATGATAAAAATGATTTCAAAACGTATTATCAACCACGACATAGTTTTGAACAACAACGACAACAACAACTTACTTCAGACATAAATATATTCTCTATATTGAATACAGAGCACCAACACCAACAATCACAACAATGGAAACGTGAACATAAACGTAAACATTTTAAAGGTATTGCACCGAAACGAGCAAAACATGAAAATAATTTTACAGTGAGTTTAAGTTTTATATGAAATAATACTATCAAGGGTATAGTGAATTTTATTAAGAATCATTCCTCATTGATTTTGAACAGACTTGGTACAGAAATGTTCAAATTGAGGGCTTATTAATAAATATCTACTTAATTCTATATACTAATTTATTTGTATAGTTTGATTGAATCCGTTTAATGACAAATTTAATATGTGGAACCTAGTACTATCTCAAACCCACATGGACTATTCTAGCTTTCGGACAGACCAATTTGTTTATTTGTCTTGAGCCATATTTTGATCTTGTCAATTATTCACTCACTAACTTTGACTATTTTTATTTGTGAGTGTATGCATGTGTATTGTTTACCTTACTCATCACATGTCTGTAGCTTATTTTTGTTTGATTATAAATATCGAATCTCACTTTGTCAAGAAGAGTTTGCTCATTCACCATCTCCGCCTCGCTTCGTTCCCCATTAGTTTAACGACCATCTCCGTTTCGCATCACTTCCCATATATATGCATGTGCTTGAATCTTATTCATTGATTCGACTCTTAATTCGCTCTCTCGCGCACATTGGCTTTTTCACTCGAGGTTTTTCGATCTGTGCTATTCGACAAAATACTGTAGTTAAAAGTTTGTGTTACTTTCTGAATTTGTATACCGTTAGGACTCATTTAATAACGGTTATCAGGGTGATTGATGTACAAGGCCTAAGGCATTATCTCGAAGTTAATCTACTACAACTTTTGACAGTCAGGGTTATAACGCTTAAACGTTACCTGAAAACTTTAAATGGCATCAGTTGTAAGAGGATTTTACAAAATCTAGTGTGTCAAGTAAATTCTTTTTTAGCAACCATATCGTTTCACTATCTCCATTGACCCAGTGCCTTTTTTAAGTGGCCATTTTACGTTTCAGTAACAAAATAGAACTGTAAAGGGCTAAGATGGTGAATTAATAGAGAACGATCTAGCATAGTGACAGAAGTACGGACAAGATTCTTACACTGATGGATCTTCAAGTGGGTTGTCCTGATGTAACGACTAGTTAGTCATTAGTACTAAACTAACATACATAGACGACAGGCTACAAATTTAAGCTGGGTATTTAAGTATAATCCCATAAGTCCAGTCCTAACAACTTGAGTAGTTGAGTTCACATATTTTCTGGACAGACTGTTTGCAGTTAGCTGAATAGTAAATGCTTTTCCGCTTTTAATATTTTCAAGTTTCAAGAACAATCACAACTACGCAACATTCCATTACACCAAAGAATTGGTATACCTCAAGAAGATTCTTCACAATATATACAAGAGACTCAATCAACTCCACAAGAATTATTCACTTTAAATAAATTAAGTCAATTTACGAACGGTGAACTGATAGACATGGAAAATGAAAACTATCCTCATCATTATAAATTATCTAAAAAAGATATTAGACATGTCCTACCATCATTAACCAACATGACGATGATGAAGCCGACAATAACAACAGTATCAGTAACACCTGTCACATCAACTACTAATAATATTATGAGTAGCGTACAACGATATCATACAAAACTATACCACCAACAAGTAGCACCTCCATCAACAGCATTACCATCGTCATCATCTAACTGGATAATAATGCCAAATCAGAAACAATGGAATAACCATAAACAAAATTCCCATGATGGTGATGAGTCGTCGTCTTGTTGTATTTCACGAAACGATAATGAAAGTGAAACAACTAGTGATGGGAATGATTTGCGTCATCAGAATTCGAAATTCAAATCTAGAACACTACCAAGAGGAATAGACCGATCTATGGATCCGATGAAAACAATAAGAAAACCAGCTAAACGGATGAAATATTACGAATCGAACTCGGCTAATATTGACCAAGATTCAATTTCCCAAGAATTACTGCATAATAATGATGATGCTAGGAAGAGTAGTTCACCGATAACGCATAATCTTATTAAAAGCACTACTAATATTAATAATATTTGCAAACCAATTTTTGAAAATCTACATTTATTTGGAAGTTCCAGTGAAATTTTTCAATGTAATTGTAAATTAAGTAGTAATAGTAAATATCATTTCCCATCTAGTTATTCAGTAATTAATGAAACTTTATCAGATGTAAAAATTAAAGATGACAATACTAGTGGCAGAATCGTGCGAAAAAATGCATCGTGGAATGATATGAGTTATAGAAATGAGTATTTATGCTATCATGATGATGATGAAGTGGAGGAGGGTGACGAAGAAGACGATGATGAACTAGATGAGCAGACAAATGGAAATACTGAACAGTCTTCAGAGGTGGATAATTCTAGTATTGAACGAGTTGAAGGTAAGTTCAGAGCTGTATAATATTTGTGTATAGAAATAAAACATGTAAATATTGCACAAAGACTGATAGCAAAATGCTTTGTTCTACAATGAATTAAGTAAGCTCTAAATACTTACTAACATGTTAAATAATCGTTGCTATTTGTAGGTTGTATTCGTCACAGATGAAATCATGTTTATTCATCCACCAGGTACTTGGAAATGATAAACACTATTTTTGGCAATCGACTCAAGATACTACTTGAAATTCTTAACGTCAGCAGAGAGGAAATATGATCGCTTTGAAACAGGCGATATTATTTCAAGTGTTAAATTGAATATTTATAAGCGTAGGAAAGGTATCGCTGACCTACTGCAACTCAAGACCATAAATAAAAATTGAGGTAGTAAATACCTTACTGATGGTGGAGTTACACCCATTGATAGGAGAGCATAAGCCTGGATCGTCCGCCGTTACCGTGCAATGCGGCTAATGAGAACTATAACCATATTTATGCAATTATCAACGTATGGAATATACTAGACTGAACTGCCGCCTCGAGTGGACAAGCAGAAATGATTCGTAAGACGCTACTGCCTTTGAGCACATTACTGTTTAGAATATAAATGGCAGTGTTCTAGGAATGTAACTGGTAGCAGTGTTACAGAATCACTAGACAGCATACAGCCAGCTTCATTTCGAATGGATCCCCCCTCTTACACTATATACCAAGTAACAAACCTCTAAGGTTCACATTTGTCGATAGGCTTTTCAACTGTTCTTTTTTTCCGTATTATCTTACAAAACAATCGGAATAAACGACAGTCATACGCAATATGGAACCCGGCACACATGTTCAGCTTGTCCGCATATCACCAAGTTCGTATCTAAAACAAACCTTGGAAATAAATGACTCCACACTGAAACAATGTTGGTTTCAAGTGAAACTATTTCTCACTGACTGTCTATAATGATAAATATATGTTAGTAATTTTATTTCGATATAGCTTTTACTCATACCTAAGGTATGTAATTATTGAATCTTATATTTTAATTAGACCCAAATGGATTTAGAAATCTACAAGACAATCAGTTGCCTGATGCAACTTTATCGCCTGACAGTAGTACATCAGTAGAATCTCAGTGTCAACTGAATATGAGCAATCACAACACACCTATGAAACGATCGCACGAGACAGCTGTTGTTATAATTACTTCTAAAGGTCGAACAGTGCAATCCACAAAAATCACATAATGGTGTTCGTAACATAGTTGTAGTGAATTTTTTCTTGAAATGAAATGTCACACCCCAACAATAGCAAACACCTAACAACTAATACTTTTTGTTCCAAGGAATTTTGAGTATTTAAAGAAAAAACTATTGTTCCTCTTTTTGTTGTCCTACCGGTAGTGATAATATAAAATACTAAAAATTAAACTTTTATATGATAAATTGTTTTATTTTTCATATGGACTCAAAGACATACATTAAATAGGGACAAGAGATTTGGAGAGTTGACAGATTTTGTCGAGTCTACTCCAAAAACAAGAGGTTGTGAGAATAGATCAAGCACGCTGAAAATAGAACGAAATAAAGATACAGTTTAGTATGAATAAACACTGGAAGTCAATGCACGAGGAGATAAACTACTAACAAGCTAATAATGAACCATCAGTTCTTCGAAAAATGCACTAGATACATATATACTGCATAAATACAAGTACGTGATGTGTGCGTCAGACAGTGATGACGTTCTATTCTTAAGGATTTTAATTACAAGAAATGGCTGTACTAAACAGACAAACTTACTTACCTTATTAACAAGAAAATAGAAGTGTTTGTCCTATGATACTAATGTTTGCAAGAAATTCAAAACTATTCCAATAATATTTGAAACCTGTATACTTCTACTCTTCATTCACACAAAAAGATAGTAAATTTAACCAAAAGACTGGGAGATGCTAGAGTCTATTGAGTCAAGTTATTTTGCCCAGTCTTAAGGACAATTATGAGCGGAGGCGACTTAGATTTAAAAATTGTCTAGGTAATGGTGGAGAAGGATAAAAGTGAAAAGGCATAAAAGATAGACATTAGTACACAACTCTTTAGACTTGCCCCCGACCGAAGCTGCTACCTTGACGCGGTGGTCGGGCTTGCCTATCGTGATGACCCAACCGAGCTATATTGGCTGGAACATATGTTCCTGTAGGTTCTACCATGCCAGGCAGGTCGATTGGAGAACGGTAAGACTAAAAGCAGCAACTCAAGGTCTGAGGGCGAAGTCGTACTGCTGACTGTAGAGGGGTGTGACAGCAGTAAGGTGTTTCCCTCGGACAACCAGCATCTGCAGCGATGCTGCCTTCCCACAAGGAGGGGTGGGGTTAGAAAAGGTCGACCCTAAAAATGTCACACCTCACCTTACCTCATGGATTTCCGTCTCCGGCGGTAAGGCCCTTTGAAGAACGGAGCTAACACATTAAAACCTTCCACAAAAAGGCCGTGCGCGACCGGCCTCAAGCAGTTGTCCCTTGGGCTCTGCGGTCACGCTCCCAGGTCGTCAAGACCAACACTAATCCAATTTCCTTTTCAGGTTCCTCAAGAAATACCCTTCCACGGTGTGGGCGGCGGGGAAGTGATATCAGCCCTCATACCCGTAACAGCACACGAGACCAAGTTGGTCACATTCAAATCCTTCCTACACCTCCTAATACCTCTCTTATCTCCATGACTAACCCTCCTCACGTCTCTTTATCACCTCGCACCGCTAGGGCAAACGATTCGAGTACGTGGAACGCTATTCCTGGTCTCCTGAAGCTACGCTCTAAACTACACGTAGGAGCTTTTAACGTACGAACACTGTGCCAAATAGGACAGCAGGCTTCCTTAGCTAGGACTTTAGAATCTCGCGCCATCGATGTGTGCTGTGTCTCCGAAACGCCCATACAGGATCCAAGTAGCGTCATTCATTTGACCTCACCATGCCAAAATAAAGAACCGACTTGATTTACGCTTCGTGTATCTGGAAGCCCTGATTCTGTTTCCCGTGGCCTCGCCGGCGTGGGTATAGCATTGAGTCCTAGGGCAGAACTAGCTCTCTTAGAGTGGATCCCAGTAGACAGCCGTTTGTGCGCTGTCCGACTGAATGGAACAGTAAGGATCCGGAAAAACAGGGACACTCGTCGTTGCCTCTTCGTCGTCTCTGCCTATTCTCCCACTGACTGCAGCTCAGATGATGTAAAAGATGAGTTTTACAGAAAGCTCTCCGACCTCCTCCTAAAAGCTAGGCGCTCTGATGTAGTAATAGTGGCCGGTGACTTTAATGCTCAAGTAGGTAAACTAAGCGATAAAGGAAAGACACCTAGGTGGATCTTATGGTGTCGTGGCTCAAAGAACAGATAATGGCGACCGTCTGTTGCAGCTATGCTCAGATAACCGCCTGTTCCTTGCAAATACTAACTTTAAGCATAAGGAAAAACATCTTTTAACATGGCGACCCCCTAATTCGTCCCAACGTTGGACCCAAATAGATCACATCGCTATCAGCCACCAATGGAGGGGCTCGATAGAAGACTGTCGCTCATTCTGGAGCACATGCTTAGATTCAGATCATGCTCTAGTACGAGCGCGTATCTGTCTGCGTCTTACTGGACGTAGGAAAAACGCTGCAAGGAAACCTCTTAGGGCCCTACTTAATGATAGTCAAGCTCAGAGTATATTCCAGGAACAACTAGGAAAACAGTTAGGCAGCCATGTATGTGATGCCCACCCCGAGGCAGCATGGAATGATATCCGAAAAGCTGTGGAAACAGCAGTGATATCTGCTAGTAAGGTAAACCGTAAGGTTAGGGAGAAACACTGGATCTCAGCAGCATCTATCGCACTGATAGATGCTCGGAAACTCATTCCACCTGGCTCTGAACATAATGAAGAGCGGAGTCAGCTTAAGCACAAGCTGAAAAGAAGCCTACGCAACGATCGCGAACAGTGATGGGTAGCGAAAGCAAGAGAGATGGAAAAGGCAGCGGCAATAGGTAATAGCAGACAATTGTTCAGACTCGTTAAGGAAACCAGAATTAGGAACCCGACCGTTAGCGAAACAATCTCAGAGAAAGATGGACATATTATTCATTCTCAATCCAGGAGATTGGATCGATGGGCAGAACACTTTAGGGATCAGTTCAACTGGCCTTCTGCCACACTTCGGTTTCCCACGATCTCTAGTCAACCTGAATGGCAAGTTAATGTAGGTCCTCCGTCCATTTACGAAGTTGAAAAAGCCATAGGAAATCTTAAACGAGGGAGAGCAGCAGGCCCTGACAGGTTTACTCCTGAGATTTTTAAGGATGGTGGTCCAGTATTAGCAATGAGATTAACCGAGGTCTTAGGTAGAATTTGGGAACTGGACGCAATCCCATCTGACTGGTCTCAATCACTGATTGTGCCAGTCTATAAGAAAGGACAAAAGTCCTCTTGTGACAATCACAGAGGAATCAGTTTGACAAATATAGTGTCTAAAATATTAGCCTCAATAATACTTCGATGCCTAATCAAAGCTCGTGAAGAGCAGATTAGAGAAAACCAGGCCGGTTTTCGACCTGGACGTGAATGTATAGATCAGATATTCACACTACGCCAGGTTCTAGAACACAGACACACATTCAGACGCCCCACAATGGTAGTATTTCTCGACCTTAAGGCGGCATTCGACTCTGTTGATCGTGAGGTCCTGTGGCAGTGTTTGTCACTGAAAGGAGTACCAAAGAAGTACATTAACCTTATAAAGGCTCTCTACTCGAACACAACTGGTCGAGTGAGAGCTTATGGCGAACTGTCATCAGAATTGATTACCTCAAGTGGTGTTCGTCAGGGCTGTCCACTCTCTCCATTCTTGTTTAACTTTGTCATTGACGTACTTTTAGAGATAACACTCTCCTCATCTAAATTTACAGGGGTTGAACTTCTACCGGGAGGTTCACTTGTTGACTTATAATATGCTGATGACATAGTTTTATTTGGTGAAGACGCTGGAAAAATGCAGAGTCTTCCGACCACTCTAAGCAACAATGCAAGCATGTTCGGGATGCGATTCTCCACCTCGAAATGCAATTGTTGCTTCAGGATTGGGTTACTTCGACACCCGAACTAATGATAGGGAGTGAAGTAGTTGAGTGTGTCGACCGCTTCACTTATCTTGGGAGTCTGATCAGCCCTTGTGGTCTGGTGTGTGACGAAATCTCAGCACGGATACAGAAGGCTCGACTAGCTTTTACCAACTTGCGTCATTTATGGCATAAGCGAGATACCCGTCTATCAACCAAAGGACGGGTTTACTGCGCAGCAGTTCGTCCCGTCCTACTTTATGGCAGTGAAATATGGCCGGTAAGAGTAGAGGACATTCGTAGCTTACTAGTATTCGATCATAGGTGTCTTCGAAACATTGCTCGTATATCATGGGACCATCGAGTAAGTAACACAGTTGTTAGGAAACGGGTACTAGGTAAGGATGGCAAATCAATTGATGACGTAGTGAAACTTCATCAGTTGAGATGGCTGGGACACGTGTTACGTATGCCCAACGACCGACTGCCTCGACGTGCGATGTTCAGTGATATAGGAGTAGGTTGGAAGAAAGCTAGAGGCGGCCAAACCAAAACATGGCACAAGTCCATGAAGTCATTGACAAGTGGACTGAGCCATGTTGGTAGGTGTAGACTACCTGGTTGGGGACCACGAGATGATAGCAACCGATGGTTAGAGACCCTGAATGACATGGCTCAAAATCGTTTGCGATGGCGCAGGTGCATACACTCTTTGTGTTCTCCCAAATTCTAATCTTCTGAATTCTTCATGTCCCTTTTTCCTCTTCCCAAATTTATTTCACTGGATTATACTCTTTAAATAACATCTCCAAACGCTAATCTTTCCAATTACTGCTTATACTCTTGCTACCTCTACCACTACGGGATTTGAATCGACAACTGCATCTCTGTGCTAATGTGGTGTGGCAACTCGAACTGATGTACGTACGTACGAAGTTCTACGTTGTTACTGACTGACTGACTTTAGACTTGCCAAAGTGGAATAGAGTTGGCTATTAACAAAACTATTGCTAAAAAAGGGGAGCACAGACTAACTCAAAGATTGGTCGACTAGAAAAATGTGCGCAGTATCATGCGAAACAGTTTAACTTATCTGTAGCTACTCATTATAGAGTCTAATTATCCACCGACAACCTGACTGAAATTGACAACTCTTAAAAAAGTACTGTAGTTTTGAGGTGAAAAGTATTAGGTCCTGATAGGTAAATTCTAGAGATCCCTTGATAATGTCTCTAGAAATAACTCTGTTTAGAGATAAGCCTCATAACCAGAAACTCTCATCAGATTAGTAAACAAATGACAAACTCCTGTTTGGTTGTGATGGAATCCAAACTTTTGAATAATAGAATGGGTTTTATTCCCTTTCAGTGAAAAATGGTGTTAACGCCATTTATTTATTTATTTATTTATTTGAACACATAAATATTGGTACAAGAGAGCGCCAATATATATGCGCCACACAAAACAATGGGAAT